GAATGCAGATACCACAGGGAATTATAAACACTGGATTACAATTTTAAAAGGTCCAGAAATTACCAACCACAAACCAGGTCTTCTCCATAATGGCAGGCTCATTCTGGAATTTCCTTCCTGTAGAGGTGCAATTGGCCCCGACTCTCCTAAGCTTTCAGAAGGAAGTTAAAAGTTGGCTTTTTACAAGCCTCACTCCTTTGTAATATTAATTTTGTATTAATTTTACGTTGGCCCATGGTTCAGCGTCCTGAGTCTTGAAATATTTACTAGACTGGCGGTTTTATGAGGGGGGGTGTCTTTGTTTTTATGTTTATTAACTTATGTTGTATAGTTATTTTCTTGGAAACCACCCAGAGTAGTAGCTTGTCTACTAGATGGGCACGTCATTGGTTTAAATAAATATATAAACGAAGTGTTGAAGTGGTCTACTTGCCCCTGTGAGCTGGAGAATAAAAGATCTCACGTCTATAGAAGAGGATAGATATAGAGGAATGGAGAAAGTTATGGAGAAGGTGAAGAGCTGAAGGTAGGAGAAAAGGGGGAGGAGTTGGAGAATACAAAAAGGAAGGGGGTAGATGTGTTCTTAAGGACGGAAGAGGGGGAGAAATCGGGAGAAACAAGAAAAGTAGTAGTTTGGGAAGACAAACGGCAGGAGGAGGGAGGAGAACCAAAAGTGTTTAAAATATGACAAAAGAAAGAAGTAAGAGATGTAAGGCATGAGAATCTAGAACCAGATAGGAAACAGGATGAAGTTAAAATACCAATAGAAGGATTAGAGCCAGGAGAATGGACCATGCTTGTGTACCCTCGAGATCGGGGTCCTTGGAGGAGGGTAATTTGTCCGGGACTTCTACAGCCGAAAGAGAAGCCACCCGAGGGAGGCTAGTCTCCTCACCCGTTGCGGAACTATATGCGTGGTGAGGAGTGGATGTTTGAGAAAGCCAACCGATCAGGAGAGATTCGGATACTCTCCCGGTTGAGAAAGGAAAGCTATGGAGGAAGTCTACTGTTATCATGGACAGATTTTCCTGTAGACTTTGGTCACGTTGGCCCTACAGAAATTACTGTAGAGAAACCTACGAGTTCTGTTAATAACGATTTTGTTCTTAAAGAAACATCTCTTTTGCCATTTCCCACCAAAACTAAGGAACTGTCAACTGCTGACAATGAGCCCTATCAGAGCCCCCTAACATACCATCCCAAATTTAGCCTCCAGATCAGAGGGTTATAAGAACCCTTAAAGCTCATTACACATATTATATAGAACAGGCTATCAACACTATGGAAGAGATCCCCAAAAGAGAGAACTGTTCTATATACTGCATGTGTGTGTTAATCCAATGGTCCCCAACCCTGGGCCTCCAGAGGTTCTTGGACTACAACTCCCAGAAGCCTTCACTACCACCTCTGCTGGCCAGGATTTCTGGGAGTTTAAGTCCAAGAATATCTGGAGGCCCAAAGTTGAGGACCACTGTGTTAATCAACTAAGTCGGTAGTCGGCACCCCCTTTTTCCACCTTTGGCGGATTGCCCGGCTGCAACTTTACCTAGACACGGGGGCGCTCACTACCTTAGTACATGTGCTCGTAACCTCTAGATTAGACTACTGTAACGCGCTCTATGTGGGGCTCCCTTTGAAGCTAATGCGGAAACTTCAGGTGTGCAGACTGCGGCGGCCAGACTCCTTACTGAAGTGAGAAAATACCAACATATCTCTCCTACTCTGGCCATGCTGCACTGGCTGCCCATCTGTTTCCGCATTGACTTCAAAGTGTTAATGCTTACATATAAGGCCCTAAATGGTTTAGGACCCCGATACTTGGCGGAACGCCTGCTCCCACCTAGATCTACTCGGATCACCTGCACAAGCCAGGAGGTGAGGCTGAGGAGCCTAACGCTGAGGGAGGCCTGGAAGGAAATGACACGAAACCGGGCCTTCTCGGCAGTGGCTCCTCGCCTCTGGAATAACCTTCCTCTGGTTATTCGTGCGGCCCCTACGCTGGGCACTTTTAAGAGTCAACTAAAAACATGGTTGTATGTTCAGGCCTTTCTTCCTGTCAATATTTAATTCTTTATTTTTTCTTTCATTTATTATTTGTTTTATTATTGTATGTGTTATGGACTGTTTGTAAAATTCTTATGTTTTCATATACACCTTATTGGAAGCCGCCCAGAGTGGTCGACCAGACCAGATGGGCGGGATATAAATCAAACAAATAAATAAGTAAGTAAGTAAGTAAGTAAGTAAGTAAGTAAGTAAGTAAGTAAGTAAATAAATAAATAACGTTTTATAGTTTTGGAGGCATAAGAGTTTTACATGGGATTTTGACTACACGGAGGTCCAGTGCACCTAAGCCAGTGTTGTTGAAGGGAAAAGTGTACACTTAAACTTTGTATGCCCTGAATAATGGCTTATTCCTAGATAGGTGGATAAGATACAGCCCCTACAGAAGGGGTCTCAAACATGCGGGCCAGGGGCCATTTGCGGCCCGCCGGACAATAGTTTGTGGCCCCTGCCTTGCCTGCTCCCCCGAACTGCCCACGTGTCCTCTGCTGTCAAGAGTCAAAAAAAGCCTTGCCTCGCTCAGCTGTCTCCCAAAACAGCGCCTCTTGCACCCTCCATCCGGAACTGCAGCCTGCCAGCTAGCCCGTCTGTCTGCCGGCTGGCAGGCTGCAGTTCTGGATGGAGGGTGCAAGAGGTGCTGTCTTGGGGGAGAGCTGGCGAGCGAGGCGCGCTGCTGGCCCTTTTCCCCCAG